GGAAAGAGAAACGGGAAGGAGGGAGAGAAAAGAGAGGTAGACGGAAATAAATCAGTGAATATCACTTCACACATCACAGTCTATTTGGTCAGCGGATGATTAGTCAGCATACACGGTACAAAAGAGCTGAGGGACCAATATATTTACCATTAAAGAAGTTGTTTCATGTTTCACTGTGATTTACGGAGGTTTAAATAGCATATCATTCCCCAGTTACTCACCATATTGTTATCAATATATCAATGCTATTGCACTCTTATTGGAATCTAACTAGATATATAGAACAATTACTCACGGCGCTACAGGGCTTATTCTCGGGATGCTCATCAAGCTGGAGTTGATTAAGTTACAGAATGTGTTTGCCTGACTGTTTGTCCATCTGCTTCCAGAACAATTAAGCACATGCCTCAGTTTCCTCTCCTTACCTTTCCTCTCTGGTCCTTTAGTCTCCTCCCCCCATCTTGTGTTTGGTATCCTCCTGGGAGCTAACTTCTCTACCTCCCTCCTCATTTCTCTCCCTCTCCTCCTTTCCTTTAATTCCCTGCCTGCGGAACACTGACAAAAGTGCTGATGAACAATTAAACATGGTCCTTCCCCAGGGAGCCAAGGTCAATTGTGTGTGTACGCGCATTTGTGTGTGGGAAGTAAGTGCATCAAACGTGTATGTGTGTGTGAGATAAAGAGAGAGAAAGACTTCGCAGTGGTTCAGATATATGCCAGACAGAGGGTAAAAAGCTGTATAATGTTATACAGTTGGTGTAGGCGTTAGAGCACTGGTGCTGAGAATATACTGTACTTGTTGTCCATATCACTGACTGGGCAGTGAAAGATGCAGAACTATTAATATAATGCATGAAGTGTCATTGTGTAAGCATTGAAGGTTAATCAATGATCATTCCTGTAACTGCACTTCGGGATAATATGTATTACATTTGAATGCATACCATGTGTACAGTACAAGCTAATCGTAGCACTACTGGATCAATTGTTTCTTATATGTTTAAGACCTTTTGACTTCTCATGACAGGGATGCAAATTGTTATGTACCATTGTTTTGGCTTGAAGTTGAGGGAGGTGAGACAATAATATTAATTTCAGACTTAAAGTCTTTAGTTGCATAAATGTACCAATTATAGCAACATTCTTCTATAGATGGCAATGTTGGACTTTCAGTTGGTTCAGCACTCGTCCAAGTTCAAATATTTTCCTCTTGCAATGTAGCAAGCTTTTCTAAAGTTTTCATTATTTAGCTTGTTGGCATATATGCTTTCTGATTTGTTTGTTTGTTATTTTTTATGCAAATAAACATGGCTTGTGAAGTATTGTTCAGTTGTCTGTTATTATGCAGTATAGTAAGCACTCTCTCAATGTAGTGGTTAGAAAACTAAGATGGTGTTTCTTTTTGTTTTGTCTTATACCTTGGGAATGATAAATACTTAAATAAACACGAAGAATGTTCTCTTAAGCATGATACTCCAAGCAAACCTAATTTAACCATAGTAAAGTAATTGTAAACTATGTTGAAGAAAGAGGATTGAAATGTGCACAGATTATTGTTACTATTTATACCTTAGTTCTACTTTAGTTCAATAGTGACTTCCCTGATAACCGCTTCCCATTCATGTGCACAGTTGTTGGCTCAGTCATTTGTAAATACATTTTAAAAGTTGCATTAGAGACATGGATCAAGAGAGGAAGGGAGCCCGCAGAGACAGTTGTGTATAGGGCCCGGAGTTTTATGCTACACCCCTGTCGCCACTATCAGGTGAATGTTTTCTTTTCTGCCCCTCATATATTTCCCATCTATGTTCACTTGCTAGGCTATGTGCTAGCTTCATGATAAATCATGAGCATGACCATATTTCAGTTAAATATCAATTTCATGTTTACCCTGACTTGTTAGTTAATTTCATGGGAGGCAGTTCAAGGTCAGGTTTATTTTTGTTATACGTATTGTTGTCAAGTTCTGTGTCATTACAACTAGTAAGATATTTTGTGTTATGTTTATTTTTTAAGTTAGTTTACAGCAGCCAGACTGCTGAGCGGCTAAGCTAAGCAAATATATTTAACGATACGTGTCGTAGCGTGTTGTGTTTTTTATCTATTTATTTATTTATTTAGCTCAAGCGCTGGGTTGACAGTCACAGTGATGCTATGTCTATATTGTGTTTACATTTTCACCATACTCATTAAACTTCATGAAAGCTGACATCTTTGCTGCAGAGTTTCTTTAAGACTGTTTAGCTGAAATTAAGCTAGCTCCTCGTCTTGTGAGACCGCCACAATTTTACTTGCCAAGTAAAATACCTCAACATCGACTCTATAGATTGACACAGAGCTTTTTGAAGACAATGATGATGTATCCTATCTTGGACGTCCCCTGATTTTTCCTTGTAAAGTTCACATCTGTGGCTGTGAATTAAATATCTAAATAACTATTGAATGGATTACCATAACATTGTATAGACTCTTCATCTAGTGACATCAGCAGTTGGAAATGTTATTATTGTGTCTTTATTGAACAACTACCATGCATAAATAAACATCAATCACAAGGAGAGAAAGGATGCTATATAGCAGATTAGAGTTAAAAGCTCATTTCCATATGCAGTCCCTGGGCATGTAAACACGTAACAATCAATAAACACATAAAACATTCCTTGGTATCTTTAACTAAATGTCAGTGGTGTCTCATAGTTTGGTTTATCACCAAATACCTACTATACTACATTGACATTGTCATCAGCCTTAGCTGTACTTTGTGTGTAGCGAAAGTTAGCTAATGTTTGCATCAAGAATGCTTATCTAAGATGGTGTGCATAGCAAACATTATACATCAGCATGTTGACTTTACTATTAAACGCATAACAATACCGGGCCTAAGTTGAGCTTCACAGAGCCTCCAGCATGGCTGTAGACTGTAGTATTGTGTAATTATCTTGGCTCTTTACTCCAGCACACTGTGCATTTGCATCAATATTATGGGAGCATAGTAGGGGTGTAAGATCTTCTTAAAAATAGCTGCAGCAAAAAGTATGCCAATGGTCCTGAGAAAGGGTGTCAAAGTGGAATCTTCATTCACTTAACCTCACAATAACTGAGCACGTGTTTTACTTGCTGAGAACAGACTGAAGGGGAAAGAAAAATAAAATAAGCAAGAAGTAAATATGACTGCAATACATGCAGATGGAGATACAAGTGGCTCACGATGTCTGTGGGTTGTAGACTTTAGAAAGTCACTGACTGCAAATCGTTCCAATATATTCACCTTTCTTAAATATAATGGATGTTGAGCAAACACTCTAACATTGCATCATGATTGATATTTATTATCAAAAGTAAAAGGAGCAATGGCTTAAGGTACAGTAGAACAATCTGAAATTGAGCAACCTCTGAAGGATAACATCAATTTCGTACAACGATGCACCTCACGATTTACGTCAAATGCCAATGTTCATTGGCAATGCAGAACACAGTGTGACCTTTTTGTAGCAAAGGGGATAGTAACCACAATCTTTCCCACATAATGTGTCTGCCTGACAGTGTGCATACATTTTTAATAACCATACCGTAACCTTAACCAAGTGCAACCAAGTGATTGAACAACACCATTGAAATATCACCTTTAAGTGGGGATCGGGAAGCAAATAACTGCTGATGACACATTCAGCAGTTACTGTATACAACAACAATGGCATTCATAAGAAGTTTTGTTTCTGGCTATGCCACACATTTAAGTCTCTCCGGTATTAATTCCCTTGTTTCAGCTCTGATTTCTGGGCTGGGCTAATCCCTATAAACAGATGCCTGCATTTAAAATCAGAGTAGTATTGACCAATCACATTCAAGCAGGCTTTAGTTGAATCCAGGTAAACAGCCAAATGCAATCTTGTAAGCCATTGGATATTGTCTAATGATTAACCAGCTAAAATAAGTATGCAACTAGCTAATTGTGACATTATCTGGTTGTAGTCATCGTCTCTCAACTCCAACTCCTTTTGTCAGTTAGTATTTGAAGTGTAAACAATGAGCAGGACATAACAAAAATACATTTTGGTCAGGATGTCTAATGGCTACACCAATACTTAATTAACCAACCTCAAATTAACATTGAGAGACATAAATGTAACATCCTTTTTATTTCAATGTGCTCAAGAACAGATATAACAAAACAGACGAGTGTTCCTGCTCAGTAGCAGTGTGTTACAGGAACTAATTCATAATGAGTGGATTTTAAGAATTGTTTAAGCTGACAGCTACCTCGCGGCGCCAATCTCTCATGTTTTCTACAGGGACTGTTGATTGAAATATACTCTAGCAAACCTCATATCAATTGTTTTCATTGAAAAACGTGCAGGTTGTGTTCACTCAACTCTCCTCCTCATAGCGGAAATTCACGATTATACCCAAGTGGTACACAGACCCGTCACTTAAGTCAAATGAACTAGAAGGCAATCTCATGTAATAACTACGCTCTCGCAAAAGCTTTTCCGTCTCGGCCGTCTGTCTCGTGGTGATTCGTCAGCAGAGCAAGAGTGGGTGGAGTTCAAAGAACTGGAGTGACGTCAGAATACAGGAACTTTCAAGATTGAGCACTGCTCAAACGGGGCATTCGGGCAGTTCTCCCATCACCGTCTAGCTCCGGGACGTCTCGTGTTTACAAAACTGCCTGCCTCGTGTGGGGAAATTGCGCAGTTCTGTTACCAAAAAGGTGCCCCACTAGGCGGCTCGAATTCCCACGGGCTCCAAG